GGTAGGACCAGAAGAAGAAACACCCATATCAGTAAGGAGCCAGCGAAGCCAGAGAAGTTCCTGAGTAGTATCAGCAAGAGCTCGATATTCAGCTTCGGTACTAGAGCGGGCAGTGAGGGATTGTTTTTTGCTACGCCAAGTAAGAAGAGAATTCCCTAAAAAGAAATAGAATCATGTAGTAGAGCGTCGATCTGTAGGATCCCCAGCCCAATCAACATCAAAAAAGGCACGCAGTTCAAGAAAAGAGGAAGCAAAGTAGTGAAGGCCATGGAACAAAGTGCCTTTGAGGTAGCGACGGTTGCGGAGTAGAGCAGTATAGTGGGGAGTGCGAGGAGCCGACATGTACTGACTGACAATGTGAACAGCATAGGCAATGTCAGGACGAGTCACTGTGAGATAGACAAGACTTTCGACGAGCTGGCGATAAATAGTAGCATCAGAAAGGAGATCCCCATCGAGAGGAGTGAGACGAATCTGAGGATCAATTGGAGTAGAGGTAGCTTTGCAATCGGTAAGACCAGCACGAGCCAAAAGATTGGATGCATATTTGGTCTGGGACAAATAAGAACCGGTAGAATCATGAGATACTTCAAGGCCTAAAAAGTAGTTAAGAAGACCAAGGTCCTTCATCTCAAACTGACGGTGGAGAAAACGTTTGAGGTGGAGAATACCAGCTTCATCATTACCAGTGATAATCATATCATCCACATACAGAAAGAGAAGAGTGGTACCATGAGGAGTAGTCTGTATAAAAAGAGCAGAGTTATAGGAGCTAGAGGTGAACCCGAAGTCATGAATAGTAGAACTGAACTTAGCAAACCAAGCATGGGACGCCTGCTTGAGGCCATGAGGGCACGCTGTAGTTTGCAAACCTTATGAGGTGGAAAAGTGGACGCAAGTGGAGGTTGCATGTAGACCTCCTCAAGAAGATTACCATTGAGAAAAATATTTTTGACATTCATCTGAAAGAGCCCCCAGTGGCAAGCAGTAGCAACAGCAACTGAACTGCGAACAGAGGTAAGCCGAGCAACAGGGGAGAATGCCTCCTCATAATCAATACCATATTTCTAGTTGAAACCCTTGGCAACAAGACGAGCTTTGTAGCGTTCAATAGAGCCATCAGAATGAGTCTTGATTTTGTAAACCCATTTGTATCCAATCGCAATCTTGCCATGAGGAAGATCAACAAGATCCCAAGTATGAGTTTGGTCCAGGGCCTGGAGTTCATCAATCATAGCTTGCTGCCAAAGAGGATTAGTACAAGCCTCACGATAGGAGGTAGGTTCATAAGTAGAAAAGGCAGCAAATCCAACAATATAATCATGAAGATGGATAGGAGGTTGAGTTACCCGGCGTGGTCGACCCGTAAGAGGATCGATGGGAGGAAGAACCGGTGGAGAATGAGGTGGTGCAATAAGAGGTGGACCTTTAGGGAGAGCAGGCTAGACGGGATCAGGAGTGAGTAAGGGCGTCTCGATGAAGGAGGAACCTGTATCAAAATCATCAGAAAAGAGATCGATGGAAGGATCAGTAAACAGTACATTAGTGAAAAGTGCGGGTAAGTGAAAGGAGGATAGTGAGGAAAACATTTGGTGCTCCCAGAAAACGACATGGTAGGAGATACGAAGACGTTTAGAGAGAGGATCCCAACAGCGAAAGCCTTTATGTTCAATTCCATACCCAAGAAAGCAACAAAGAGGAGAACGAGGTTCAAGCTTGGTGTTCATGGGATTGAAGCAGAACAAAGCAGGCAGAGCCAAAAACCTGAAGATTGGTGTATGGAGGAGGGAGTGCCATGCAGACGTTCAAAAAGAGTTTGATTATGGATGACAGGGGTAGGAGCACAATTGATAGTGTAGATAGCAGTGAGGGCAGCTTTCCCCCAAAAGTTTTCAGGGCAGGAAGAAGATAGAAGGAGAGCACGAGTAGTGTCAAGAATATGCTTATGTTTCCGTTTAGCACGGCCATTTTGCTAGGACGTGCTAGCACAGGAACGGTGAGGCAGTGTACCATGACTCTGAAGAAAAGAAAGGAAATCTGAATCCCGATATTCCATAGCATTGTCAGAGCGAAAATTTTTGATGGTTTTGGAGAATTGGGTGTGGACTATTTGGCCAAATTGATAATAAAGGTGTTTAAGTTCAAACCGAGTTTTCATGAGAAAAAGCCAAGTAAACTGGGAAAAATCATCAATAAAAACAACAAAATAACGAGATCCCCCCATAGTAGTAGTAGGGGAGGGGCCCCAAATATATGAATGTATAAGATTGAAAGGTACAAGGGAAACAGAAGTACTTTTATTGAATGGTAAAGCAGGTTGTTTGGCAAGTTGACATGGTATACAGTCGAAATTATCTGGAATTACATAACCCAATTGTCCAATAGAAACCAAAGACTTTAAGCGATTAACAGAAATATGCCTTAAGCGACAATGCCAAAGATGAAAAAGAGACAATAAGGAAGCAGATGTAGGAACAGCGATCTAAGGAGAGTCAGGAACATAAAGGTGAATGAGTTCATAGAGACGTCCGTGCTTACGGTCGATCCCAATAGTCTACCTCGTTTGAGGGTCCTACACCAAACAATCAGTAGCAGAAAATGTGACAGTTAGACCAAGTTCACATAATTGACCAATAGAAATAAGGTTTAAGATGAGAGCAGGGATATGATAAACTTGAGGTAAAGATAAAGAAGATGTGGAAACAGTACCAACATGATGGATAGACATGAGGGAACCATCAGCAATATGAATTGAGGGAATATAAGGAAATGAGGAGATGAAGAGATGGAAGAAAATATAGTAGAACTGGAGGTCATATGATTACAACAGGCAGAGTCAAAATACCAAGAAGAGTTACTTGGGATCACAGACAAAGCAGTAGAAGGAGGTGTACCAGAAGGGGAGAGAAGGTGTTTGAACATGGCCTTTACATCCGTTTGAGAAAAGAGAGGGGTAGATGCAGTAGGTGACTTAGAGAATCCCTCAGAGACAGCAGCAACAGTGTGATGAGACTGATTCCCGGAACGATGAAAGCTCCCCCGAGAAGAACCACCGCGAGAGGAGTGGCTATTGGAGGATGATCGGGATGGATTGCGAAAACAATCCTATTGCAGATGACCAAAACTAAGTTTGTTGCAGTATCGGCAGGTTCTAACGGGGCAATTAACTAAGAGATATGTTAAAAGAAGGCCCCGATTCTGACAATAGAGGTAGGCAGTGGTCCGCTGGGTAAATGATGGCCGGTACGGAGGAGTGGCAAGAACAGAGTCCACATGATGAGTTTGGAGAGTACCAAGATGAGTCTCCTCTGATAGTAGCTCAAAAATAGCTTGTTCAAGAGTGGGCAATGGATAGCGATGAAGAAGAGAGGCACGTACGGGCTCAAAAGAGGAAGTAAGAGCCATGAGAAAGTGCACCAACCGTTGCTGATTACGATAGATAGTAAATAAAACAGCATCTTCTTGGTGAGGCCAAGTCGGTTCTGAAAGAGCAAGCTGGTCCCAAACAGAGTACATTTGAGAAAGGAAGTCATTAATGGACTGAGTGGATTCTTAGCGCATGCGGTGAAGTTGGCTCTGAAGTTGATATTGATGGGCAAGACTAGTAGTTTGGTATCGTTCTTTCAAGAAATCCCAGATGTCTTTTGTAGGAGTAGTTACAGAGTCAAGCTGAAAGCGACCAAACTGAAGACTGATAGAAGTAACAGAGGTATTTCAAAACCAGGTAATGATTTGGTAATTCTTACTGCGCCATTCCTCAAGTCCGTCTTCATATGTAGCAGCAGTAGGAGCAGTAGTTTCATCAGTGTCAATGTCTTTCACTGGTTGGGTCACATCCCCGGTGATAATTCGCCAGAGCTTCTTTCTTTTGAAGAAGGAAGACATGGCTTGGGCCCACAGAACATAATTGGAACCATTCAAAATAACGGAAATGGGATGGGAGGCATCATAACGATCCATAATAATAGTTGAGTAGGGCTAAAGCAATAGGAATAGACGTTAGCAGACTGGCACACGCGGGTGCACGATAGCGGAACGGCCCAGGCGCGGCTCACGGTAGAAGGATGGCGCACGTGGGTGCACTATAGCGGAACGGCGCAAGCGCGGTTCACGGTAGAGGGATGGCGCACGCGGGTGCACGGTAGCAGACGCGGCGCACGAAGGAGCAGACTTGAAGGCGCGTGTGAGAGTGGCAACAGAAACAGAGACGCCCCAAGCATAAAGGCGGCGCGTGGGAGCGCGTGAAGGCGTTTCTGAGGACGGGCGTGGTGCCGTTGGAATCGTAAGAAGATTTCGAGCTGTTTGGTGTAGTGCCACTGTGTATGGGACTAAGCACCAAAATTGAAAAATGCCAAAATTGTATAACTGGGCTCTGATACCATGAAACAATAGTTTGAGAGAGAGAGAGAGGGAGAGAGAGAGCAAATGAATAACTCTGTATTAATCTGTAATTGTGTGTATCTTTACAAAGAGAATGCACTCTCTTTATAGAGAAGAGATGATACATTGGATGCCAAATTCTAGGCACCGAGAGCGTAAAGGAAAAGCTGTATACAAAGCATAAAGGAAAAGTTGTATACTACATTAAGAAATATAAAAGATAAGGCTATAATATAATGCTAAAGATATAATGCTATAACAGTTATTATAACAACTATATACTAACAATCTTCAACAATAACAATAACAACAACTAAAAAAAATTAAAAAAAAAGATCTGATTTGAAATCTCCACAGATCCAGATATACCACCACAATAACAATAATAATCTAACAACTAAAAAAAGTAGAGGGAGGTTCTTCGTAGATCCAATCTACCACAACAACAATAATAATAACTAAAAAAATAGAGAATGACTGCGACCTGTGACACAGATCTATGGTTTCATGCTTTTCTTTGCAAACTTGCAAACGTTCTCTTCAACCTACAAAATCACAAGAAATATATAGAGCGAAGGATGTAGATATATAGAAAATAATTTCAATATGTATTTGAAAAGTCCAATCTCTCTCTCTCTCTCTCTCTCTCTCTCTCTCTCTATATATATATATATATATATGTGTGTGTGTATACACAAACTTTGAGTGAATATCAGTAAGTGAATTTGTGTATATACGTATATATTGTGTATATACGTATATATCAGTGATTCAAGTTGTGTGTGTATGTATACATATAGATCAGTGAGTGAATTTCTAGATCAGTGAATTTCGAGTTTTGTGTGAATTTCTATATACGGCAGAGAGAGAACATGGAGCAGAAGAGATCCAACAGATCTCCGATCTCAACTCTCCGACCTTACCTCATTTTTCTCTGCCGTCCGATCTCTTCTCCTCCTTCATGTTCTCTCTCCGCCGGCGCTGCAATCTCCAGTTTCAAACTTATATTCCGACAGCCGAAACCCTAAAGAGTTCGCCGGAATCTGACATCAACGCCGGTTGCATCCATGTTTTCTGAAAACCCGATCGAGATCATCGGAGATCCGACAGATCTAAGATAGATGACAGCGCTGATCTGAGATACACAGAGGCGCCGAAGAAGACATCGGAAGACAGAGGTCGAGGGGGAAAGCTCAGGCAGCCATGGAGCTCAAGCAACCATGAAGCTCAGGTGACCACTCTCCCAACGAGGAGAGAGAGAGATAGAGAGAGAGAAAGAGAGGGAGGAAAAAGATGATTGGAGTCACCGTGATGGAGTCGAATAGCGGAGAAGGAGACGTCGACGGCAGCACGGTTGTGGTTGAATCGGAGATGGAGAGAGAGGGGGAGGAGAGAGAGACGGTTTATTTTGGCTCTGTCTACTAGAGTGTTTTAAGAAGTGCGTAAAAAGTTAATTTTTTAATTTTTTTTTTGATATTTTTAATTTTTTTTTAGCTTAAAAAATTGATTTTTTCAGTGATTTTTTTCGAAAAACTTATTGACTTTTTACTAAATTTTTAAATTGTCCCATAATATATACAGTGGTGCTACGGACGCCCAGCGGGGCACCCCCAGTAGGTCAAATTTTTTTTTTCCTTCCAATCACGCGGTGTCATGTGACATTTGGGGGGAGGGGAAGAGGGGTCACTGGAAATGGGGGTCTTAAGCTTTATTCTAATATATATACGTGGCTACTTCGGTCTTTTTTAATGAACTTGTCTATATGGCCAATGAAAAAAACAGCCTAAACTTTTAGGTTTTGTTTGGTGAATCTTTGGAGTGTTAGTTCCAGAATTTCATTCGATTAGAATTTTTAAAAATTAATTCTACACTCACTTTTGAAAACGCGGTCTGAGGTTGGAAAATTTGGGCTATCGGTCGTTCCACTGAATGTCCCACCGGTTGTTCGGGCAGTTGATCGGAATAGTGCAAATTTTTTATTTTTTTTACAATTGACATATGCTAATTTTTATATATTCAATAAAAAATATTTTTGAATTTTTTAAAATATTTTATTAGTTTTAATAGAATTTTAAATTGTATGTTTGGTTATGAGTTATAACTTTTTTGTATCAAATATCATATGTCACATCAAAAATTCCCTACTCTTTTCAAAACTCTTTTACCAAACAAATTTTCTACACTCAAATCATTATTTCAAAACTCACAGATTTAAAATACAACTCTATTCTCAAATTAAATTTAGAGAACTCTACCAAACGCAACCTTCGACTTTCAAAATTTGATTTTACACTTAGCCGGAGTGCTTTGAAGAAAAAATATTTTGTCTAATATCTTTCCCACTCATATGTACACTTTCTTTTATCAGTTTTAAAAATAAATAAATAATCTATTAACTCACATGTCTCTCCTAAAATTTTATTTTTTTAAAAATAAAATAGTAATTTCTCTTATATTTTCACATTTTCTATATATTTAAAAAGGTAATTTTTCTCACATTCTCATATTCTATAATATAAAAAAAATAATTTGCCTAACATCTCTTACACTCATATGTACGGTTTCTTTTATCAATTTTAAAAATAAATAAATAATCTATTAACCCACATGACTCTCCTAAAATTTTACATTTCTTAAAATAAAAAAAAGTAATTTTTCTTACATTTTCACTTTTTCTATACAATTAAAAAAATAATTTATCTTATATCTCTCACACTCTCATATACTTATATGATTTCTCTTCACATAATAGTGATTTCTTTCAGAATAATCTATCATATATCTCTCACTTTAGTGATAAATTATATGAAACATTAATTTCCTTCCACTACCGGTGGCCATGGCTCCGGTGGTTTGCCCAACCCAATATTTTTAAATTTTGAAATAAATATTTTGTTAAGTCTTTTACAACAATTAGGGGTGTTCCGGCAATATAATAAAAAAACAACTTTTTTGACTTTTTTGAACACATCACCTCTCTATTTTTTAACAAAAAAAAATTAAAAAATTAATTTTTTATCGACTTATCAAAACACCACCAGTATAACATAAAGGTCAAACCTCTATTGAGGCCATTATACTATTGAAGTATTAAACACTAAACCTAGAAACACAAGAAGGACAAAGGGAAAAAAAATGTAAAAAAGGAAAGAATATTTTTATATATATTTTCTCCATTTATTTGTTTTTTTTTGTAAGAAAAATTTTTCATTTTAAAAGCTGTAAGATTCTTTCCTTTTTTTTTTGCATATCTTTTTTCCCACCTTTCTTGGTTATTTATTTAATCTTTTTAAAAAAAACTTACGAAAAAATTTGTACTATGCACAAATAAATTTATATAAATTCAATTAATATATCAATATAATATAGGGTAGCATCAATAAATCTTAAAGTGTGATCTCCGTTTGGCAAGAGCTAAACGGAGCTTTTTTGGCTATTTTAGCCACAAAAGACAAAATAGGCTATTTTAGCCACAAAAAACAAAACATCACATCCAACCCATAATCATTACATTCTTCTCTCACAAAAAAAGCCAAAAAAGCCAAAAAGCCAAAAAGCCCTTCCCAAACCAAACTTTTTAGCCCAGGCTAAAATAGCCAAAAAAGCCAAAAAGCCAAAAAGCCAACCCACTTCCCAAACGGAGGCCTTGTAAATTGTTTTGTCTTTTATTTTTTCTTATGAACTCAAAGGTCTCATTAAAGTAAAAATTACATAAAAGGATAATCACTAACATGTTTGGATTTAATTTTCTAAGGATAAAAGTGGGTTTCTCTACATATAAAATTATATATTTAGACAATTCACAAATCTCACATTACGAAAAAAAAAAAATATATAACACTCTAATGTAACACTAAAGTAACATCCAATGTAAAATACTAAAAAACTCTTTGGTGCACTTTTTTCAAATGTAAACAACGTAACACTTTAAAAAAAAAATTACTCATTAGTGTACCTTTTTCAAATGTGACACTCCAATGTAACAAAAAAAAAAAAACTCTTTAGTATATTTTTTTCTAAACATAACACATCAATTAATGTAACACTAAAAAAAAAAGCTCATTAGTGTATTTTTTCTAAACGTAATATTCCAATCAATGTAATCCCAAACGTAACACTCTAATGCAATACCTACAAAAATACTAAAAAAAAAAATTAATGTAATTTTTCAAAAACGTAATACTCTCAATTTGAAATTACACATTTGTTCAAAACTTTCTAAGAAATTTTTGTATTTCTTTTGGAATGGTCTGAGGAATCCCACATACTTTTGGAATGGTTTGAAGAATTCCATATATGTGTGTATATATGTATATTTGGAGTGTTATATTTGAAAAAAATATACCAATGAATTTTTTTGTGCGTTATATTGGAATGTTACACTAAGAATTTTTTTTGAAGTATTATATTGGAGTGTTACATTTAGGAAAAGTACACTACAAATTTTCTTTTTTAGTGTTACATTGGAGTGTTACTTTTGAGTGTTATAGTTTGAAGTTATACATTTGTCCAAAGTTTACTAAGAGATTTTTTTTACTCTTTTTGAAATGTTTGAAGAATCCCACATTCTTTTGGAATGTTTGAAAGATCCCATATTTTAAGTTATTTTTGTATTCATTTTGAAATGTTTTCCAAATAAAAAGATTCTTAGATAAAGATTCATCCCAAAATTGATTCTTATAAATTGTGTGCACTACCTTTCTAGTACAAAAGGAGAAGAAAAAAAAAAAAGAAAAGAAAAAAAGATAAGGAAACATAATAAAGGTATAACTGTAAATTTAATTTCTAAATAATATATTAAGTAGGTGTTTGGCATGTGCTAAAATAGCATATGCTATTTTAGCATATTATCCTATTTGGGTCATAATCATCTTATTTGGGTCACATCACCTGTCTACCACATTACTTCAAACCCAACTCACATTTTATTTTTTTCATAAAAAGTCAAAAAGTATACTAATTTAGCACTTCCCAAATAAATCACATTTCCAAAATCAATAGAACTAATTGGTCTATAAAAAAAAATCATTGAGACTAAATAGATTATCATTCCTCAAAATGGAATTTATAGGTAAATTTTCCTATAATATATGATATTTTTCTCAATCAATATCATGAACAAATATAAATTATTCATTTTACTGTTAGACATTTAAGAATCTTTAAGAATTTCATAGTATTAATTTGAATTTCTTATTATTATTATTATTATTTTTTTAATTTTACAAGTTAGAAACACACGTGGCATGAAAATATTGCTCCATCTTACCATATAAATAATTTAAATTTTTAAAAATCTTTGTATAGAAAGTCAAAAAAAAAAAAAAAACTTTAAGATATTTAGCTATATCTAAGTCACATCTAATTTAAAACTTAAAAATTTTTAACAGAAAACTCCAAATGTAATTTTAATTTTATATAATTTGAAATTTTAAAAATATTTATTTCAAAATACTAAAATTTATCAGCATAACCAAAAAATTACATTAAAAAATGTAAGTCTTTTCAATAAAATATGGTGGGAAAATGGAGTAATTGAGGATGGGAAGGAGAGAAAGGGAAAGCAAAAGTAAAAGACCAAAAAAATAAAATAAAAAACCTTCTTAGGATTACAATTATGGTCTAGACAATGTAATTTCTATAATTTACTTAAATTTATTTGCTTTAATTTTACCAATTAAATTACAACACATGTATTTATCACACAATACTTAAAAAAAATATTATTGGCAACACATACTGACACAAAACACATTTTCGTGTAATTTTTTTGCACATGTAATTTCCATAAGTTAAATTTAAGTAAGAACCTGAAAACTAAGAATAACTTGAATTCTTAAATACTGTAAAAATTTAACATTAAATCTAAATAGTAATAATGAACATTCTAATTATTGAACATGTGGAGTAAACATATTTAAATAGTAATAATGAAATTTATAACTTTTGATCTCACCCAACAACATGCTCAAATACTACTTTAATTTAATTTTTATAGTTTGAAAGTAAAGTTTGATATTTCAAAATTCAAACAGCTTGAACCTTAAAAGAAAAAAAAAAATAAATAAATAAATTGAAGTATCATGTTGATGATTTATTTAATCATCTAATGCGTTAGCATTAACAAAAAACTTTTTTAAAAAAGGACAATAATATTCCCACTTATAAAAGAAAAATAAATGATTTAAAATGAAGTATAAATATCATTTAAAAAAAATTAAGATAAGCATAATTTAAGCTAAAAATTATGTCTACTTATTTTTTATTTTTTAGTATAAAAGAAATTCCCATGCATAGAGCACAGCTATACTACTAGTTTAGGAAGCAAGAAAATGTAAGTGAAATGTCAATGAAATATATTTGTATTTCACACACGTTTTACACTTTTTACTTTCACTTTCTAAATTCCTATCTATATCCATAAACTAAACACAACCTAAAGACAAAACAAAAAAAACACACAAAAACACACCCAAAAAAAAAAAATTTGAAATTTCAAAAACGCAAAACCAAAGTTACATTTATGGGTGGTTTAGGATGATCTAAATAAGTACACTTTTTGACTTTTTATGAAATATGATTTAGATATGGGTTGAGTTTGAAGTGATGTAGTACATAAGTGAAATGGA